TCGGGTAATAGAAGCTTTCGACCGAATCACGGTCTGTGAGCGGAATGACTATGATAGGCTGCATATGCACTGGTTTGTACAATGCAATAAAACGCAGCCAAATCGAGCGACGTTCTGGCCAGAAAAAACGGGACGCGGTTGTCTCTGGCGGCGCGGTCCCCAACGCCTTCGCCAAAGCCTGCCCCCTGCGCGGCAACAAGGCTCACACTACAGCGCCAGAATGCAGCCGCTACAGGGCATGTCGCGAGGAGCAGCGCTGTCAACGTAACTTTCCGGCAAGCGTTGGAAGTTGCGTTGCCCCTCCATGGCGCGGATGATGATGTAGATTGTGTTGTCCTGTTGAACATGGAGGTGGACTCGTTGCGCAGTGCGTTAGTGCCGGAGGTATAGCCTGGAAGTCGCTGCAACTGTCTCGCCGTCACGGCACCCAACACTCTAAACAGTGTCGCCAAGCCAATAAGCCACTGCGAGCCACGCCCCTATCGGCTCCGTTCCTTAACATCTTTCGTGTCTCGGTCAGCTACAGAGCTTGAGTCGATGTTCACATTGGACCACACGCCCGCTCGCTGGCCTCTTTCAGCGCGCGTGGCCGGTCGTCTTCTCACGTCCCGACGTTTGAGGGCAGGTGTGTAGGACTAGCGAAGAACTTGTCCGTTACCCAGCAACCTTCCTGTCCGGCGTCCTGTGCCTTTACCAAGACTGCTCAATATCGTCTTGTCAGCAAACCAACATCGATGGCTATGTTGGCAAACGGCGCACGTATATGATACCGAGAACAATCTGTTTGCACCCTACAAGTGACCCCGCCCCCCTATGCACTTACCTATTCCGTAGGCACACGCCGCATGGAGTGACTACCTGTTCCTTGCCGTTCTCGAACGTCAGCTTTCGGCCACTGTCAAGCGGCAGTGTTAGTGCTCACGTTCCGGCTCTCCACATTATCAAAGGCGTATATCACACCGCTGTGTGCAGTCGCCATCTTTCAACATGAAGATTTTTAAGCCGATACACATTTGGGTCTGAGTTGCACACGAGACCTAGCCAACGACTTGAATGCACGGCGATCGCATCGGAGATCATGCCAAAGTCTCGGAAAGGACGGTGCGTCAAGATCTAGAATCAAGCCATGGCCAATCCATTGAGCCTAAACTACCTCGTTCATAGCGAGCATGACATATACCGATCGCTCGGCATCTGCAGGCTGTGGACGGACATGAGGAACCGTTCGGATGATTCACAGATGTGAACTTGTGGAGACGACAGAGGTCATTTTACTTGCCTTGGGTACGAGTACTTGCTCACAACGTAGCTGCAGCATGCTAGATTGAAGTACACTGATACTCTTGCGGATGCGCGTCATGTACCTGGACAACCTTCGAGCACATAGAGTGCCCAGAGAAGATCTCACGGCAATCCATGCGTCTTCTCTCATCAGGTGCAACATGTCACTACTACAACGAGAGTATATGATTGCAGGCAAATTCTGTACGAGCACGTATATATCATGCACTAGAGGACTCTCGATGCAGTCGGTAGTTCAGAGAAGATGCACTTCTCGTGACCATGGCCCATGTCCCTACTGTTCAACAAATGACACTACAACAAGACCTGAATATACAGCAAACCAACCACAGCACGACTGTACCCACACGCATACTGTATGTTTATTACTAGATAGTTGAAGAAATACCTAAGAGCAGTCCTATCCCTTCCCGAATCTAAAGAGACTAGTAGAGTTCAGAGTAGAGTTGCCTAGCTATAACGGCCGTGCAGTGTTAAGGGGTGCACCGATGCTTGTGAAGGCGGAAGAGTGTCATCTCCGAGACTACTACATTAAATACTTCGAGTCTCTAGTTCGCGGGCAAACTAGCATCTCTTAGATTTGCAACTGTTAAAGATCAGCGACTCATCTACTATTAAGCAGATGCATACAGGTTTCCGACCCGTGCTACGTATCCTCGATTTGTGTAGTTGTTACCTGCAGCCGTCCAAATTCTAGAGTATTTTGCGTACTGGATATTTCAAAAAACTTGGAACTCCGAACGTTATTCCGGGGCTCAGAACTCTTGCCATTTATCTTGGGCTGCTCATCCGCTCCTCGGAGGAAAATGCCGTCACCCAGCTTCTTGATCTCCAGGCAATAATCGTTCCCAAGAAATCGAGGCGCTTCGAGATTACTAACGTCAAGCCGGCGTTCCTTTACCGGGCCCATAAGTGAATATAGCGCAATTGGGTATCTCGAAGTGTCGAGCGAGCTGATGGCGCCTCATTGCGATCCCTTCATCATTGAGACCTAGACAGCCCTCTTATCAAAGTGTGGAGATGTTGGAAACGCTTGCTACCAAGTTACAAATGATGAAAGCGAGACTAAGACTTTGACGGGAGGATGGGGCCGGTAAGTAGGACCATCCACTTGTCTAGGTTTGACTATAATGGGTGGATATCCACCGAGTTGAGATCTCACGATCCACATTGCACGCCTGCACCAATTCCGGGAGATTGACAGACGCGTCTGTAAAGGTGGACAGCTCACAAATCGACTTCTCCGGTGGCGACTGTAAAGATTGTATCAGTGTTGACTTTGCCCGAGCGTGTTCCTGTCCTTGCCGAGTCGGGTCAAACTTCCCATATAGGCGTGCTGCTAAGTAGTAACAACAACAGCCTAGCTACCTAGAAGACATACGTTCACGAGTAAGGCCACAAGCGACCTCGCTAAATGGAGGTCTTGTGTGTCAAGTGTGTGTCAATGGGATTGGAGTTGCTCACTCGCAGGTCATGACGTCAGGTTGTTGCTCCGCCTCGGCATCTGTGCAGTCGCGCCTTCCACGACAACCCAAGCTGCTAACGGCCCGACACAGCAGGAAAGACCGACATGCTTACTACTCAAACCCTGGAGAGATGCTGACGAATCTTATGCAAACGAGGATGGCTGTCCCCTCTTCTGGTGGGGTCAAGGCGACCTGTTAGCACAGTGAACTTCGTGCACGACTGTGCCGGTCATCTTTACTACATCAACAGTACTCGCCGGGCTAGGACGCGCTCCTGTAAACATGGCGACGCGATCTATCGTAAGTTGATATGAGATGCAGCAGTCCGAGGGTGATTGACGATTGGTAACTGACCCGTAACGCAGCTGCTTATCGCAGCAATCGCCATTGCCGCGCCGTGGGTATACGACCGCTATCTCGGGTTCTCCACGATATTTGCAAACAGACCAGGGAAATTTGAAAATGTCAACCACTTCAAGAGTCACGAAGTCAAGTTCCGCGATCGGCTTCGCAATTGCGAGGATGTATTGGTGGAAGAAGATATGGGTATTGCGTTCTTGAGCTGCAATCCAGAGAGAGATCAGTGGAACACGGTAATGGTGCGTAGCCGCCCCTTGGATTTGCCCCTAAGAGCAAAATAGTTTCAACGCGACGAGGGCTTACATATGCAGGGAGCCTTTGCGTCACCTTTGGACAAAAGAGATGGTACCGATAGCCCACATATCTGGATCTACGACTATTCAACGCCCGACATTCTGGACTCAGACGCTTTGAAGCCTCTCGTTCTGACTGACTATCATAACGCGGTGGATTTTCAGCCTCTGGGCATCGAATTTGACGCCGCGACTTCTACGCTATATGTCGTCAACCATTCCCGCAACTCTGGAAATGTCATCGAAGTGTTCCAAGTCTCCGTCCAGAATGCGGTAGCCAGATATTTGCAGACACTGAAACATCCGTTGATCCATACGCCGAATTCCATACACTCTCTAGGAGATGGGAAGCTACTAGTTACCAATGACCACTACATCGGCGCATTGGTCTCACCGTTCATATCACAGGTCGAAACATTTTCTGGCATTCCTGGAGGTAGTGTCGTTTATACTGATATCCACAACCTGCAGCACACCAAGACGTTGACGCACGTCCCCTTCGCCAACGGCATTGCCATGCTCAACTCGACGACTGTTGCCGTTGCCTCGTCTTCCAAAATGGGCGTAAACATCTACAGCTTCTACCCTGACACGATCAGTCTGTATTTCAGAAACTATATTCGTGCGCCTTCGACGGTCGACAACCTTTTTGTCGATTCTTCTGGCAAGCTTCTTTTGGCAGGCCACCCTTTTGCCCCAGCACTCACAGCTGTGAGCAAAGCGAGAGCAAATTGCAACATGCAAGGACTAGATGAGGAGAAAGGACCTTGCGAGTGTACGGCGCCTAGTTGGGTGGGAGAGTGGAGCGAAGAGGATGGGCTGAAGACCTTGTATAAGAATGACGGAGACGAATTTTGCAGCAGTAGTACGCTCGCTCGCGACGTGGGCAGAGGCGTGAGTATAGTCACGGCGTTATATGATAGAGGTATCTTGGTGGCGAACGGATGAGGACGACGTGCAAGGAATCAACCAATACGGACGGAGCGAGGCACCTATGTGTTGACACATGTTATGATGAACACAACTTGTTTTTGAGGGGTTGCAAGACCAAATGAAAATCTTATTGCAACAGGCGCGATGTTAATCGGAGTTACAAAGTGGTCTACAGCTTAAGCAGGTGGCCCTATCGCGCGTTGTATCTTGGGGGTAGAAGGACCCAGTATGGGTGGCTTTTGCGAGTTTTCATTGTCGCCAACTCCCTACTCAGGTACTCCTCAATATGTAGGAGGAGTACTCCAAATCACTGTGGCCAGGACCGTACTTTCAAGTCGTCGTCACAAGGATATCGCAACCGAAATCCCGACAAAGAATAGAGAGACGAGCAGCCGTTGAGTAGTTACTTTCTCAGTGCGGTTTCATCTTCAATGCTGTCTGTTCATGTCACCACCCGAGAGTGATGACGCCGTGCGAGTATGGACCAGTGCATGCATGTTGGTGTCACTCAAGGAATAGTGTCATAGCTCCATAGTCACATTTCAGCGCATCGTGTATAAGATCAGGAAGGACGCTTCGAGCTACTGTGTCTGATGATTGGCCTCTATGTTGTAGCTACGAAAGGTTTGCCTGCAGTTCGCTTCGCTCAGGCCCGGCACAATCTTCCATTCTGAGTCTGAACACCCTGTTCTCCGTCTTGAACCACCCACCTCTCACTTCCAACGGCAGTGGTCGCGTAGAAGACATCGGTCGGGTCCCACTTCTTCTTGATCTCACTCAGCTTAGGGTAATAACCCGCATAAAATGACTCCTGCCAGTCAGGCTCATCCACGCTCGCTTCGTTGAGATATGTACCACCACCCTCTGATACAGGTGCTATGTCGCGCCAAGGCTGCAAAATGTTCTCGTGAAGATCCTTACTGGCGGCGGCAAGGGCTTCAGGTGTAGAATGGTCGGCTGATCGGTTTGAAGAGGTCACCATGAACAGAGCACACTCACGCCAGGCTGGGCTGACGGCGTTGTTCGTGTTTGCATACTTCTTTGGTGCCTTGTGGTATCCCAAGAAATGTTTCCCGGATAACACGTGCTCTTTGATGAGCGCAAATGTTTCGTCATACTTTTCCAGGAAGTTGCGTCTGGGAACAATTCGATTCGCGGGCATTGAGCCGTCCGAACCGACACCAAAGGGTATACGCCCCCATGTTGCTTGGTAAGCAGAGTAGAATGTGTTATGCGCGATAGGTGCGTCGGGTACCGTGAGAGTAATGTTGTTGTCCTGGAGGTATTGGAAGAAGGGCTTTACAAGCTCGGTATATGACTCCATAGTGTGGTTTGGCGCGATCAGGAATCCCATTTGTAGGTATGGGGCAGGTTTTGCCCCCATGAAGTAGAAACTGTATATTCCCGCGTCCGCCCAGTCAAGGAACAGGTCATAGAACTTCTTCGTACCCGCCCAGAAGGCATCGACGCTGTTGTTCGAAGCGTCAAGGGTCCAACTCGATGTGACAGAGTTGAGCTTAGGATGTGCTCGAATGATGACGGAGGTGACGACGGCGAAAGTTCCGCCGCCGCCGCCTCTAAGCGCCCAGAATAGATCAGGGTTCGAAGCTTCGGAGACAGTGACAAAGCGACCAGCCGCAGTGACGACCTGGAAAGCGACGACGTGATCGGCCGACATTCCGTAGATGCCAGCAAGAGGATTTTGTCCTCCTCCGGTTATCATGCCACCAGCATATCCAACACTCTACTTTGCATTAGCTCGACTGTTCGCTTGATGGTAGAACGAAGACACTTACCGCGGATACCGCGCCCAAGACGGTCACGCCGTTCTTGTCCGCGGCCTCATACACTTGCCTCACATTGACACCCGCAGAAAGCTTGAGTGCTGGTCCCGAGTACCCAGGGCCTTCATACTGAGACATAAAGTCGATCTGGTCCATGTTGTGCATCCATAGACTCAATGCTCCAGCGCCAGTTGACTTTCCAAGATAGCAGTGACCAGTGTTCTTGATGACAAGCCGCATGTTGGTGGCACGCGCGAAGTTGATTGCAAGCTGGATCTGTGCCACATTCGTGACCTTGACCGCGTATTCTGGGTATGCGCCCAGAGTGCATATCTCGCCGGTGGTTTCGTTGCCAGGCATACATGTCCTGCCCTGATAAATCGGCCACATATCTGGAGATCACCATTAACATAAGCTCGAAGTCTGTCAATGGAAATAGCTTACTTGATGTGGGATCAGCAGAATGGAACAGCGGACTTGTGAAATTGTTGATAACATCCGAGCACGCTGCAGCATCTTTCTTTCCCCATCTCGTGTCGTAACACGATGCCGCAATTGGCTTCGTTGGAATCAATGCTCCGTCGAGGAGCACGTTGAACATGTCCCAAGTGGTGTCTTTAGGCCAAGCGTCGTCTCCGGGAAACGTCTTGCAAGACGCTGAATAGGCAGGAGCATCGCCATTACCAAATTTGAAGTATTTGGCATAGTCCGATGTGGCTTCTTCTGTTTCCAGGCGTTCGATCACTTCATCGGTCAATTGGAGTTTCTCCGCTGCCTGTAAAGGTGCTCCTGCTGCCGGCGTGTCTGGAACGGTAGCAGCTGCAGGCTCGATACCATCCACGGCGGATGCTTGGACGAGTGTAAGCAATGGCGAGAGAGCCAAGAGTAGTGTCGTTGACCGCTGCATAGCGTACATGGCGACCTGAAAAGCGAAGACGAAGTGGATGGGGCTGGTAATAGTTCAACACTGAGCTGCTCAACCTTTTATCTTGTATCCTTTAGCCGGTTGATGACTATCTCTCTGGCTCATTCTCGGTGGGCTTTCAGTACATGATTCACGTGTCACTGCTCTAGATTCTGACAAGACGTAGTTCTTGACTATCATGTTACCCAAGAGGAAGGCCCAACAAAGTCATGCACATGTATACAGACGCAGGGACTGCAGGAACAAGACAGCGGTCGGTTTGATATACGATTCGTCAATCGCAAAAGAAAAGAACACGGAGACAGTCTCCCTTGTACTTTTGCTGATTTGCCGCTTGCACGGCCTGGTAGGCGGCATTGGCAAGCCCCAATCGTACCTCGGATTTCAGGCCATATGTTCCGAATAGGGTATGGTCAATTTTCCCTCAGTCTACTACTGCAAGGTTGCAAGGACACTTCATGAACCCAGAAGAATTGCCACCTTGGCACGGTATATGAGGCATGTCCGAGGCGCTGTGGGAATGCGGCGCAGCTCCGAGGAAACCTTGGAATACGTTGACCGCTGTTTCCGCCCGGGCTTGTGGAATCTGATAGTCGGTGCTGCTTTCGCGATACATACCGCCGCCGTCGATAAAATTACGCTGTGAAGAATATGTACTAAGTACCTCGAGAAAGTGGAAATGGCAGGGAAAAGTTCGCCATCTCTAAGGGGGGCGGCACGCCCGCTTCCCCCTAGGCCGAGCCCGCCCCACTCATTGTGCTTACCTAGGGAGCCCTTACTTTAGAGCCTTGGCACTGAATCCTACATTTGCACCTTTGCCGCTCTGTTGCACATGCGGCAATCCGCGGACCAATGTCAGCGACCTTCGTTGGTTTTGGGAATAGATTAGAGCATTGCGAATCCTTTGCACTGCCGCCTCATCCGAGATTGAGGGGCACTCCCAAAGCGAGGTCTGACACCTTCGTGCTTTGGTCAATGGCTTACTTCTCGCATCTGTTGACAGCTCACGAGGCGACATAACCTGGGCTTGTGACTAGTGCAGCTGTCGAAAGGGTTGCTCGTGCTATTGGATGCTGATGTTTCTAGGTGGCAACATATTGGGTTCCCCGTCCATACCCATGCCCAGATTTGGAGCTTTGTCTTTATGGGATGTGGCACGGTAAACGGGACGGGACTATGGACCGCTCGCCAATATCGACACCCGACGTTTTGGAGCGTATCACACATGTGATGAACATGAAAGCATGTCGGATTGCGGCGTCATGAAACTCTTCTTAGGATACGCGAGCGCCATATCTGAAAATGAGATTACCTACACTTCTATACAATTAAATCACGTTCCACTCTGTCGAGGCCAGACTTTCATGCCGCTGTAGCCATTCGAAGTGAAGTCGTGATCTTCCCCTTCGCGCAGCATGGCAGGTACAGGCCTTCAACCAGTCAACATCTTCCTCATCATTTTCCCTTTCCTGGTGTCCTTCTCGATTGTATCTATCAGGATATGGAGAAAGATAAAGGAGCGTACCTATGCTATCGGTTGGTGATACTCTTCCCTGCAAAACTAAACTTACGCTGACAAACTGCTCTAGAGGATACACTCTTGGTGGTAGCAGAGGCTATACTGGCAGTACTCACAGCCACTATGTGGAAGTGTACGTTGGAAATGTCCTCTACACCTCTACCATCTGACCGAATTTAGTCATTCTGGTGTCTTACGCAGGATACCATTCGGCCGATATTCCTGAGGGAGCCCCGAGGCGGTCAGACGTCACTTATGTATGGTCAACTGTAATACTCAGGCGTCAACTTTGGTACTGACAACCATCCTTATAGTGGCGGCATACGAACAACGTCGTCTACAACCCCATTCTAGGTCTAGCCAAGATCTCGTTCCTGATCACGCTCTTGAAGCTCCGTTGTATGGATCGCCTCATCATCGCAAGTCTCTGGACTCTGATCGCTATAAACATCATGTTCATCATCAGTTCTACTCTGGGTAGTCTGTTTATGTGCTGGCCTATCCAAAGATCATGGAATGGGGACATAGATGGTACATGCGGTGATCGCGCTGCATATGTATTCGGCACGATCGGTGTGACGATCATTACCGATGTCCTCGTATCACTCATTCCAGCGTGGGTCCTCTACGATCTACGAATGCCTTTAAAGAACAAGGTGTTCGTGATAGGGTTTCTCTCGCTGCCACTTACCGTCACAGCTATTGGCTGCTATCGTCTACACAAATTCGTCGAGGTTATGAAACTACCCACAGTTTACAAGGAGGACCCCTACAACATACGAAGCGTGTTGTCAAATGTAGAAGCCAATCTGGGTGTAATTGCCGCGTGTGGCCCAACGATCAAGTGGATGCTGGTAAGATTCTCCCTGTGTACGAAGATGAGATCAGTGCTGACTGCTCATCTCCATTATCCAGAGCCATTGTATTCCTTACTTCGATACCAGTCCGAGCAAGAACCCATTCCCGCCACTCTCATTCCCACGCTTCCAATGGCGCACACGAGAGAGTATGAAGGGGGCCGTCGACATCGAGCTGCAAGAGCATTACGTCGATACCTCTGACGAAGATCAACACAACGCAAGCCGCGATCGGAAGTTCACAACCACCAGTAGCGACAGTCAGAAAACAGCAAAGGCACAAGATAAGGGCGATGTGATGATGATGGAGGAACAAGGGCTACACTTGCAAGTGAACGAGCCCAAGCCTTCTTTCCAACCTGGTAACCGAGGCTTAAACTCCTTTCCCTAAACTTCAACTGTTCATTCCTGTCGCAATAACATTTGGTCTTTGTATGATGACTGGTCTTTACACCAAAGGAAGCGCTTCTTCTGCCGCTGTACCCCTGTTCATAGCTTCAACCGCCTCGGAAGCATCTATCAGATGCAGTTTGTTTCCCTTCGTAGGGTCAGCAAAGTGCATGGAGATTCGCGAGTCGGAGGCGGCGTATATAATGTGTCTTTGAGACGAATCTGGAGCGGGAGCTGGCATAGGTGCAGGCTCAAATATCTGGGTTTTGTTACTTCATCACACATAATAAATCCATGCTTTTGACAGCGCCAGTCTTATCATCGCGCCCAAACGACTTCAGCCTCGGGATTAAACTCCTAGTCATCGAATTGCGGCTCGAACACAGCTACAGTTTAATGGCTTTGTCCTTGTTAATGAAAGGATTGAATCTATCAAGCAACGCAACACCGCTTATCATGTGTGCTGAGCGCGTCTGCTTCATGCGCTCGAGGAACAGGCCTCTGCACTGGAGGGTACTGGTTTACGAAGCTTATTTCGCTCTGCCTTCTTGTTTGTCTTGGGTGGAAGGACGTTGCGGCCCTTCGGGAACACGTCAAGCTCGTCCTCTTCCTCGACTACCTGCGTCTTCGTCTTCCACTTTTCGTCATGTGCTTTGTGGCGAATGCGTTTGTGTCATCGGTCTTGCGCTTCTTGGAACTTGGCTTTGACCCTCGGACGACTGATGGAGCGAACTTGCTGATTGCGACTTTAGCATACTGGACGATACCCAGGCATTGGAGAAGGATTGAATCTTGCTCGTCCGTGTAGAAAGTTTGGTGTGGGGAATGCGTGCTGATTAGTGCACGCTGTCTGTCAAGTTGCAGTATGATCGTAACAGGATATACTTTGATGAGACTGGCGGAGAGTTAGAAAGACACGAACGTTAGCTTGCAGAACGTCGACTAGAGCTATGGTAAGTGCGGAACATCCAAAGTTGAAGTTACAAGCCGGCTCAGTTGTGTCAATGTTCAACAATAGCATCCCACTGGAAACTAGAATTACGCAGAGCTGGAAATAGAGGAATCTCGTCTAGACGGCAGACTCGACGGATAGTGAGCCAAAAAGCTGAGGATCTGACGTATTGAAGGACACGGTCAGTACTGACATGAGTCACATCGTGTTGAACCTGCTATGGGCAGCAAGGCCGAGCCTGCCTTCAGGAACCTCGAGTTGATTCTCACATGTACAATACTATGTGTGTGCAAATAACCATCTCAGACCCTTTACAACTCCTCCTTGTCAACGCCGTCAATGGAGATCAACTCGGACTCGAAGACTGTCATACGTCAGTCAATGTATTCGCCGTGTGTCCCAATAGCACTTACTCAAGACGCTGTTGGCGGGGATGGGGCCAGCACCCCGCGAGCCATAGGCCCACTCAGGCTGGATTGTGAGCTTCCTCTTTTCGCCGGGGCACATGTCTAGCAGGCCCTGGTCCCATCCCTTGATGACTTGACCGGTACCGACGGCGAAGGACAAGGGCTGGCCGCGGTTGTATGAGGCGTCGAATTCGCTGCCGTCGCTTTCGAGGGTGCCGCGGTAGTGGACGTTGACCTTGTCGCCGGCCTTGGTCTTGCGCACGCAGTTGGCTTCGGTGAGGACTTCGGTCTTGAGATGCTGTACAAGGCGTTAGCACGCCATGCATGCCGTATAGCTTCGCGGGGTGTTACTTGCCTCGTTGTTGACAATCTCGCCAGCGAGAGCGGCCGTAGCCAAGGCGAGGATGAGGGTGAGCTTCATGCTGACGTCTATGTATAGTGAATTTGCTTTTCGGACACACCACGGATGTCTATGAAGCAACCTTGGAAGGCGACGTTGCAATGGCGGCGGGTGGAGTGTCTATGTGGGGATACATGTGGCGCCAAGCGGTAATGTGGCCCAAACCATATGCAGGGACCTTGGGGACGTCATTGGATGTCGCTAGCGTCATTTTACAGCATCGAAAAGACCACGGACCCAATACCTACTTCTCTGTCTTTCGCGCTCAAGCCCGAGGGGTCTTTTCGCGACGGAACTTTGGTTGTGTACATTGGGGGGGGGGGGGGGGGGGGGG